CCATCCCATTAGTCTTCTTCCTATCATAAGTAAGGTTTTTGAATCTCATAACTTACTTTCTGATCATCAATATGGGTTTCGATATTCTCGTTCTACAGCTGATTTGCTAACAGTAATAACCAAAAGGTTTTATTGTGCATTAGATAGAGGTGGAGAAGTTAAGGCTGTCGATCTTAGCATTTCTAAAGCTTTTGATAAAGTTTAGCATGCTGGTTTTCTCCATAATCTTTCTTCTTATGGTGTATCAGGTAGCATCTTTAAGATTATTGAATCCTTCCTTTCCAATTGTAGTATAAAAGTTATCCTCGATAAACAGCAGCTCTTCTTCATATCCTGTAACTTCAGGGGTTTCTCTAGGTTCTATTCTTGGCCCTATCTTTTATACTCATTAACGATCTTCCAGATATTCTCACATCTAAGATGGCATTGTTCGCTGATGATACTACCATTTATTCTTGTCTTGATTGTCTTGATAAGAAGTCAACACTCTCTGATTGCTTGGAGGAGGCATTTGAGCTTAAAAAGGATCTAACTTTTGCTACAGTATGGAGCTCACAGTGGCTGGTGAACTTTAAATTAGATAAAACCCAATTTTTTCAATTTTTTTTCATCTTCCTATATTTATGAACGATAATGTACTCATCGAGTACATTACCGTTCATAAATGAGTATTTGCAGCCTTGTTGGAAGCAAAGATGTTAAAGAAAAAAAAAATTACATATTGATAAAAAAAAAATGTTTATTGATTGTTACATTTTTGTGGCGTTGTTAAGGTAAAAAGATTCGTAATTTTTTTAAAGTGTTTTGAAATTAAAAAAAAAATAAATAAATAAACTTGATAAATTCAAATGACCAGTGTAAGAATTTCATTAAAAAACATCTTTAAAAAACTGTAAAAAAACAACAACAATAAAGTACTAAGAGATTTAGTATTTTTTTAAAAGCTATTTAAATTTTAAAAGTGTCAAACTTATTCATTCAAGTTTTAACTACAAAGGTCTTCTCTTATAACTACTTTTCTTATAATTACTATTTCAGTCCAAATTTTAAACTTTTCAGATTAAAAAAAAAAAATTTCTTAAAGAAAAAGAGTAACAAGGGAACTTTTTAAATATGAAAAAAGAAGAAACGTAACACAAAATAGTATTTACTCCCTCCGTTTCAAAACACTGTTCCTGTTCTGATTTGCATTTAACGTAAAGAATTATTGAAAATCAATTGTTGTTAATTTTTTTAAATTTTTGTATAAATTTTTTTTTGAACATTTTGAACATTTAATACTCTATTAGTATTAAATGTTGAAAAGGTCTCAAAAAAATAAACTTTATATATATATATATATATATATATATATATATATATATATTATATATATATATATATATATATATATATATATATATATATATATATATATATATATATAAAATGAACAAAATATTTTCAATAATTCTTTACGTTGAATTCAAATTGGAACAGTATTACAGAACAGAGGGAGTATAAAGTAATAAATAATTTCAATAAAAAACAATAATTTTCTAATAAATTTTTTAACTCTATTAATATAGTTTAACAAATTTGGTCAAATGCAACATTGTTTTTAATAATTTTTCTAGAAAACTTGAAAATGTTTGAATAAATATCAGAAAAACAACCATTGCTGACGATTGTTTTTCTTATGCATTTTTATTCAACATCATTCACTTCCAACAAGGCTGCAAGCAACCACTATTAAGTTGAAAGTTACTGGAGGAGAAAAGATGAAGTTTATAGAGCAAGATTGACAGATGACAGATAAAAAGATTTCAAATTATATGTATCAGGAAAGTAAGATAAAGGAAGCAAATTCCAAAGAACTGATGTTTGAGGAAAAATACTAGACAAATAAGAATTTTTGGAGCACTTAGGAACAGTCACAGTAAAGGGGTGAGAATTGAATGACAAGTAGCACGAGAATGAATTTTGTTAGATGGCACAAGAGATGCTAGCTCTTTAAAGGAGGATGGCTGCAAGAGCAGATCCAACTATGTTTTTTGCACCTGGTCTAAAAGGGAAAGGGCATCATTGGAAGATCTGCCCCAGATATAGCAACAGCATTTCATACAAGAATAGATTTGAAATTTATAGAAATAAAGACCAGAATCTGGAGTAAGAAAGTGTTGCGCACAATAAATAGATGCAACCTTTGTAGATGCCCAATTTTGCAATAGATTTGATATATGATTTCCAAAAAAGTTTGGAAGTAAGAGTTAATCCTGGAAGATGAAGGGTAGATGACTCATCAAGTACATTACTGTTCATAAATATAGAAAGGTGAAAAAAAAAATTAAAAAAAATTGGGTTTTATCTGAATTAAAGTTCACCAGCCAGTGTGAGCCCCATGCTGTAGCAGAAGTGAGATCCTTTTCAAGCTCAAAAAAATTTTGTACTACTTATTAAAGCGATATTTTATTTTATATACACTAGATGTTTTTTACTTTTTTTGTTTATGTAAGTAAAAAACAACTCAACCAAAAACATTAAATTTTACTGTTTTAAAAAACTATATATTTGTACGAGCTATATTTTGCCCCGTGTAAACTGACAAACACAAGTGTGGGGGCGGGCGCAGGCAATGTCGACCCAACTGCCAAGCTAAAAGTGTTTGAGGTTGGCAAAAAATCTCAAACCCTATATCTATGTTTTATGGTAAGACCTTTGTGTCAAAAATTTTTTATATATTCACACAGAATAAAAATTAATAGTAATAAAAATTATACTTTTTTATTTTAAAATAATTGCGAGAGAGAAGTGGAAAGGTTTCCATTAAAAAAGCTATAAGAAATGCATAATGATTTTTCTTTTCAGTTTTTTTACCTAACACTTCTATTTTAAGCCTTGGTAAAACTGCTTTTTTTAATACAGATTTATATTTGTAAAAAAATTGGTAAAAACTTTTTCATGCACATATATATTGAAGATATCCTGATTCTTGGTATGAAGAAGTAATTAATCAACAAAAGTTTTATGGTATTGCTGCAATAATCGAGAAGAAATTAGTTGGTGTTATTGTTGCTGAAATTAAAGATCTTTCAAGATGTTGTGCAGAGGTTTTTATTTAAATATTAAATTTTTGTATTATAAGTATTATAAGGAAACATCAGTATGTATTATAAGTATTATAAGGAAACATCAGTATGTATTATAAGTATTATAAGGAAACATCAGTATGTATTATAAGTATTATAAGGAAACATCAGTATGTATTATAAGTATTATAAGGAAACATCAGTATGTATTATAAGTATTATAAGGAAACATCAGTATGTATTATAAGTATTATAAGGAAACATCAGTATGTATTATAAGTATTATAAGCAAACATCAGTATGTATTATAATTATTATAAGGAAACATCAGTATGTATTATAATTATTATAAGGAAACATCAGTAATTTGAAAATAGTACTCAAAAAAAAAGTCAAGAATAAAAAGATCAGAGTTAAAGTTTGATTTATACCAGAAATGTGCTAAAAACCTAGACAATAGGGTATAGCAAGTTTTTCAAAATAATTAGTATCCAGATCCTATTCAGATTTTGGAATCTTTATATGGATCCATATCAGGATGCAGTTTTTTCTTAAAAAGTAAAATTATCAAACACAATGAATTTTTACTTTTAAAAATTAAAATTATTAAAAATAAAATAAAGTTGAAATTTTTTGTAATTTTTTTTTAAACAAATTTTTTTAGTTTTTTTCAATTAGAGTTTTCACAAATGTTCTCAATATTTTATAGTTTATAAAGCCTCGACTAAGTTTTTAATATTTTGCAGCTCTAATACTATGAATGGAGATTTTGATAAGAGCCATTTCAAAGCGTTTGCTAAACTTGATGTTCACTCATATCAAACAAAAGTTCCACCATATCTTACTGTCCAAAAAAGTTTTGAGTTTTTGTCTAAGTTATGGTTTTACATGCTTTTTTCAACATTTAATCGTTTTTATCAGAGAATAATCCTTGTAAGACTGTCAAACTTAATTAAGTTAAGCATCAGTTTCATAGCACTGTAATAACTAACATTTCGACAAAATAATCTGTATAACTGCCATGCAGTTAAGAAACTGTTGATATCTGAAAGAAATTTAAAATAATATTTTTGAATAATTATCTTGGACAGTTAATGTCAAAATAATAAGAGACATACTTAATCCAAAATATCAGCTATCTATTGTTAAACACAGAGAAGAAAATATGATGGTATAGGGTTGTTATAGCCATGAGATATTCATCACATAGAAAGTAATATGCATCAAATTGTTTATTTAGACATCATAAAGAATTTTAAGCTGCCACATTCAAAGTATTTAATGACTCACAAAAGGACAACAAGATAGTAGTTCAAAGCATTGTGCCAGATCTATTAAGGAATATTTTTAATCACAAAAAATTAAAGTTTTCAAATGGTTTTGCATTTCAAATCAAAATGTCTGTTTTTTTTATAAGTGCATCGAAAAATAGCATTCATTTTTACATGTTGGAGCTTAGATTTTTATACAAGTTGAAAAAATTTTTTTAATAACTCAGTTAAATTTAATTAAATTAATTTTGAAAAACTTAAATTTAAGTTTGAAAAACTACAAAAAAAAAAAATGTTATTTTATATATTGGCAATAGTAGATACTGTTATGAAGATATGTTAAAAAAAACCCAGACCTCAATCCTATTTGAGTATCTTTGAGAGTACATTGACCAACAAATATTTGGTAGAAAATCTTTTATTTGTTTTGATTAATAAATGTTGGTATAACATTCCTCAGGATGTTCTCATTAACTTTATTGATTCAATGTCTGGTTGCTGAAATGATTAAAGACAAATATGATGTTCTAAAGACATGAATAAAGAAAATGAATATGCCATCAAATACTTAAATTAAGTCTTATTTAAACAATTTTATTGAAAAATTTGTAAATTTTAGTTAAATTTTCAGCTTTTTTCAAATATTAATCAAAATTATGTTGTTTCTAAACTTTTGCATGCTTTTCAAAAATATCAATTAAGTTTTAATTAAATTTTACAAATTTTTTTGAATTGAAATAAAATACACATTTGTTTAAAGTTTCAGCTTATTTAACAAAGTTTGTGAAAGTTAAAGCATTATAAACTGAAAAAAGTTTCTGTTTCTAACTTTTGCATGCTACTGCTACACGCTACTGTAGATGAGTTCCCATTTTGATTTTAATTTCATTTGTTTTTATAGATAACAAATATTCTGATCAAAGCTATTAATTTCTAAAATTAGGTTATTATTAAAACAAGGTTATTATACTGGTTTTAATTTTAAAAAATAAAATAGTTTAAATTTTTTTCTTGTAAAACAAAAACCATGTCAAATCAAAATGGCTGTTTTTTTTATAAGTGCATCGAAAAATAGCATTCATTTTTATATGTTGGAGCTTAGATTTTTATTCAAGTTGAAAAATTTTTTTTAGTAACTCAGTTAAATTTAATTAATTTTGAAAAACTTAAATTTAACTTTGAAAAAATTAAATTTAACTTTGAAAAACTACAAAAAAAAAATGTTATTTTATATATTGGCAATAGTAGATACTGTTATGAAGATATGTTAAAAATTCAGGTGTATAAGTGTTTGAATTCAAAAATGTTTATTTATAAAATGTTTTTAAGGACAGAGATATCCTCAGCTATTGGTGTTCTTCACAAACAAAAGTCGCATTAATTCTTATTCTTGGCACATCAAAAGATTGCAGAAGAAAAGGAATTGGTAATTTTGACTGCTGGTATATTTTGTTTGCTATTGTAACAAAATAATGTAGTTTTGGACTTTAGTTTTACATTCAATTCATTTGATTTTGTATAGAAAAAAAATGTCAAAATCTTCTTAGCATAATTCCTAGCATTTGCTTTTTTCATAAATTTCATTTATATTATTATGTAAAGTCATCCTCGAAGGCCTACCTTAATGTTTTATCCTTGTTCCTATTTTGTTTCTATCTACATTAATGATCTTCTTGACAACCTTACATCTAAAGTAGCCCTTTTTGCTGATGACTCAACTTTATACTCCTGTTTTGACAAAAAGTCTTTTTTTTTTCGATCCCGTAAAACAGGTAGCCGATCTTGAATCTGATCTTACTTCTGTAAGGATTGGAGCTCACAGTGGCTTGTAAATTTTAATTCAAACAAAACTTAGTTATTTACTGCAAACAACTATCGCAGTACTGTCAACAGTCCTATATTAATAAATGGCAACCCTCTCACTGGTTCTTCTTTATTGCGTCTTCTTGGATTATCATTTACTACTGACCTTTCATAAAAACCATATATACAATCAATTGTTAAACTAGTATCTGCTAAGGTTGCTTCTCTTTATCGTGCTTGCCATTTTCTCTCTCCTGATTACATTCTCTACCTCTCCAAATCTCTTATTCATCCCTGTATGGAATACTGTTGTATCATATTTGGGCTGGTTCTTATAATGATGTTCTTTCTCTTCTAGACAAGGTTTAAAAAATGCATTGTAAACGTAGTTGGACCCAGTCTATCTGCTAAGCTTGAGCTTCTTTCCCACTGTCATAAAGTTGCATCTCTTTCTCTTTTCTACAAAAACTGCCATGGTCACTGCTCTAGTTCCATCAACTAAAACTCATTCTCGCTTGACTCTTCATCCTTTTAAGTCTCATTTATTTACTGTATCTGTCCCTGCATGCTCTAAAAACTTTTATTTTATCTAGTTTTTTTGCCCCTACTTCAACTCTTTTTGAACTCTCTCCCTTCTTCATGTTTTCTTGACTTTTCTTTTCAACTTCAACTGTTTTCTTGCTCTATTAAACTGTATTCTTTTTTTCTAGTAACTCCCAACTTAATAGTGGTTGCTTGCAGCCTTGTTGGGAGGGAATAAAAAAAAAGTTTAATTTTCATTTATAATATGTCTGAACACATAGTATCTCTACTGTACATGAAGAATCTCTGGGTGCTGGGAATTTTTTTTGCTGTCATATATTTATATTATACTTAGGTGATTCTCTAATGTACTTAAATAGTTCTTAACTATAAATATAGCTATAGTTCTTGTCCTTAATAACAACTATTTAAGTACAATAGAGGATGGTACAATGTACAATGGCGAATATACAATAGAGAACGGTACAATGGGGAATATAAAATAGAGAATGGTACAATGTAAAATAGAGAATAGTACAAAGTACAATGGGGGATTTCGCCCCATTGTACTTTGTACAATGGGGCGAAATCCAAAAGTTAGAGTTAAATACATAGAATCTTGAGAGTTAAGTACATCCTGACATTTTATTTATCAATGTAGGTGTTTTTAGAAGCTTCTGTGTGTATTTTCATCATTAAATGTCCCAGGACGCTAACAGCTAGACCCAATTTCTCCCTTTGCAGATTCTGGATTGTTTTCTTTTTCTTATCATACTCCTTTGCTGTGTTTCCTTTTGCCAAGTCTTTTCTTATAGCTGGTGTGTAAAAGCACTCCGTGAGCCAGTTACAGAGGTCAAAGTTGTTTTATGCCAGATTCATGCTCTTCACTTTTACTACTTCTATACTCATTATAAAGAGCAGCTTTGACTCATTGATCTGTCCATTGAGAGCTTTACATATCTTATGTAAAACTCTTAAAGGGAAACCTTTACATACATTTTTCATTTCTCCTATTTGAAATATTGTATTGTCTTCAAAAACAAAATTCTCAGTTTGATATATGTACTTAACGTATAAAGCCCCCACAGATGACTAATTTTAGTGGTTAACTTTAATACTTCATTGGGCCATCTATATATGTGTATATGTGTATATGTATATATATATATATATATATATATATATATATATATATATATATATATATATATATATATATATATATATATATATATATATATATATATATATATATATATATGAGTATATATCTTATACTGCTGAGTTAGGTGAGCATGATGACATCATACTGAAATAGCCTGCTGCGGGGGCTTCAGTACATACATTGGCTGACAAATAGCCTGACTCGTAGTGGAGTGCTGCTACATTGACTGAGGGTTTGGTATGGGTTAGCAACCTTTTCATTCATTATTCATTGTTTTCCCTCATCGTTTTCTCAAAACGCTCACTTAATTTAGGCTAGCAAAAAAAGTGAGCAATTGCGCATATAAATATGCTATAGTAGAAAAAATAAGCATTTAATAGACGTAATATTATTTTAATTTTAAAATTTTGATTAATATATTAAAACTGTTCTTTAATTTTTACTAAAGGTTAATAATTTTTACTAAAGGTTAATAATTTTTACTAAAGGTTAATAATTTTTACTAAAGGTTAATAATTTTTACTAAAGGGTAATAATTTTTACTAAAGGGTAATAATTTTTACTAAAGGTTAATAATTTTTACTAAAGGTTAATAATTTTTACTAAAGGATAATAATTTTTACTAAAGGTTAATAATTTTTACTAAAGGTTAATAATTTTTACTAAAGGATAATAATTTTTACTAAAGGTTAATAATTTTTACTAAAGGTTAATAATTTTTAAAGTGAGGCGCTTTTTAAATCAAAGATAATTAAAGAAGAGATAAAAAATTTTTGATAGAAAATCATATTATATATTAAAAAACATGTTATATTTTAAAAAGAGTTGTACTTTAAAAAAATATATATTTTTTTAATTATTAGGTATAATTTAAAAAATTATGTTTAACAAATTTACTATGTTACATTTACTATGGGTTAAACAGATCTTAATAAAACTTTTATTAAGTCATTGAAATTGTAATTATTTTTTATTAAGTTATTGTATTCATTATTTTTGGTAATTTAAAATCCAAAAAAAAATGGAAAAGAAAAAAAACTTTCTGAAAAAGTTTACATTTCGTCTTTTCGTTTTCCTCACATAATAAAATATCAAAAGTTCATTCATTCAAAAATTAAATTTGCGCAATAGATATTAAGACTGAAATTTTTTACTTTTGTTCATTTATTATCAAAAGCACTTATACAGGTTTTGGCTGGAGTAAATAAGTGCATGAGCTATAAATAGCCCGTCTAAACCATTCTTTGCAGGCTCTGCAGGCCGCCCGCCTAGATAGTCTTGCACTGGCTTTTTTGAACAATTAAAGTTATTATGTTTTGATGAAATTTTATTTTGTTGATTCTTCATGTTAGGTATAGTAAAAGTTTTAATTGTAATAAAATGTTTTTTTAGAGATAAAAAGACAGAAAAACAACCAAATATCTTTTTTAAAATATATTTTAAAATCAAACGCAGTTTCTTCACTTTCACTTGATTTAGGTGTTTCAATTCACTTTCACTACTTAAACTATCTTAATTAATGTCATCTTTTTCATCATTTACTATTGTAGCAGATTGAATTATTCGATCGAAAATAGCTGTTCGCCTTTTTTATAAAAATACCTGAATAACCTAATCTTATAAGCTGAATAACTTTGTATTAGACACTTAATTTATACTATAAAAATCAATTAACATTATGTTGATTATAAATGAGATATTCGATTTTTAATAACAAGTTATATATTAGTATATTAAATAAACTGCCGCCTTTTTCAAAAAAAAAACAGGAAGTTTTCAAAGAATACTGAAAACCCGAATTATTACGTTAAATTCCTTTGCAACATATGCATATTTTGCCTGCTTTTTAACATACTAATTATTTATCTTTTGACATAACACAGAATAATACAGAACAATTATAGCTGTTTGAAATAAATTGTTTGATTCTTATTTTTACATCAGAATATTCAAAAATTATTTTTTCCATAATTTTTTTAGCATATCCTGAATGATATAGTTTCATTTTTTTAGCTAGTAAAACAAACAGTTTTACAAAATTACATCATTTGAGAATAACTGAAAAAAAACCTCAAAAATATTTAACTTTATTTTTACCAAAAATTTATATTTTGCATGGGCTTTATTTTTCCCGTGTAAACTGATTTGCACTGGTGTGGAGACATGGTATAGCCCATTCTTGCTAAAGCCTGTTTATATATATATATTTGAAATTTTTCCGAAAATAAAAATTTCAGTTGTGTTCACACTTTGAAGTCTTCTCCATATATATATATATATATATATATATATATATATATATATATATATATATATATATATATATATATATATATATATATATATATATATATATATATATATTTATTTTACTTCACCTCCTCAAGGCCGAGAAGGCCACTACAGACGAGGAGGCTACTTATTTTGTGGCTATAACCCTCTCTCAACTCTATAACTCCGAAACACGAACCTTGACGAACAAGGCCGCTGCGCGGAGAAACGAGTTGAGCGCAGTACTACCAGGGACGTGGTGGGGATCGAACTCGGAACCACTCGTTTATGAAGCGAGCGCTCTACCACTACACCACTACCGCATTATTATTACCGCATATATATATATATATATACATATATATATATATATATATATATATATATATATATATATATATATATATATATATATATATATATATATATATATATATATATATATATATATATATATATATATATATATATATATATATATACACACACACACACACACACACACACATATATATAAATACTTATATATATGTGTGAATGTATTACTTATGTTTAAATTTCAATTATTAATTTTAAACTGTTTTTAGGAACTTTATTATTAACAACATTTGTGCAGCATGTTCAGCAAGAAAAACATAGCAGTTGTAAAGTTGTGTACCTTCATGTTCTTGCTTCAAATATAAATGCAATTTTATTTTATGAACAACTAAATTTTAAACGCCACAAGCTACTTCTTAATTATTATAGTATCAGAGGTGAAAAAATGGATGGTTTTTCATATGTGTATTATACAAACAATGGAAATCCTCCACTTACATTCAAGTATTCTTTTTTTCCTTAACTTAAAATTAATTTATTTAATTAAATTAAATTAATTTATTTTATTAAATTAATTAGTTTTATCTAGATTTTTTAAATGCAAATTTTAGTTCATATTGTGCAGTAATAGTAATAACTCTTGCTTTGTAAGTAAGCAGTTTACAGCTATCTGTTTATAGAGTTTGTTTACCAATGCTCATGTGTTGGAGCTATACGGTTGTAACTACACTTTTTAAATATAAGCCTACTTTCAAAATCAAACGCAGTTTCTTCACTTTCACTCAATTTAGGTATTTCCCATTCACTTTCACTGCTTAAACTATCTTAATCAATGTTGTCTTTTTTGTCATTTTCTATTGTAGCAGGTTGAATTATTGGATTGAAATAGCTGTTCGCCGTTTTTATAAAAATACCTGAATAACCTAACCTGATAAGTTGAATAACTTGATAACTTTGTATTAGTTATTATTACTATTATTGTAATAGTAATAACACTTGCTTTGTAAGTAAGCAGTTTACAGCTATCTGTTTAGAGAGTTTGTTTATTAATGCTCATGTGTTGGAGGTATAGGGTTGTAACTACACTACAAATATAAGCCTACTTTTCTAAAGTACCCCTATGAATTTTAGGAGATGAATAAAATTAAGCGAATAATAGGTTAGAGCAAGGCTTATTTGAAGACTTTTAATTCTTAAAACAGAACAGTGGTTAATCTTAAAAGTCTTAAAACATCTTAGAAATTGAGGATCTTTTTTTTTTTAGGAGATACAAGTGTGATACAAAATACCAATATATTTCAATATTCATCCCACAACACCCATACCCCTACCCCCTTCCTCACCCCCCCCCCTGCACACACACAAAGTTCCTGGGTTCATTTTATTTTTATTTGCAATAAAAAAAATAAAAAAAATTAACAAAATAATGTACATTTTTGCGTACATTTTTTATGCAGAGTTTGAAGATTCATGCAAAAATTAAATTAAAAAGGGAGTTTTTTAGTTTGAATGAGGAAAAACTTCCAGAAAAAAAAAATTGGGTAGGTTATCTAAGTTGCACTTAAATAAAATTCAAAGTCAATCAACCAATCAAATATTTTAATCAATCAAATCGATCAATCAAGTCAATTGAAATCAAATCAAATTAAATCCAATCATGATCTTTATTTTTATTTTCTATATACTTATATATATATATATATATATATAATATATATATATATATATATATATATATATATATATATATATATATATATATATATATATATATATATATATATATATATATATATATATATATAGTTTCATGTGCTTTTATTTAAAATTTTTTTTTTTTTTTTAGAGATATGAAAACTAAGATGACAGAATATTTATCACATTTTGTCTGTTGCAGATTTTCTCGTTGTCTTTTGTCAGCAATGAAATATCTAAGCAGCTATCATTTCAGCAACCCACATTTCAAAAAAAATTCTTTAATAACAGTCTGAAGTTTGGATTTTATATATTTTTTTTCAAATTAAAAAAAATATAGTTCTAGATTTATATTTATAGTAATAAAAATGTTTTTTTTTCACTTATTTTGTAAATGTTCCTCATAAAAGTTTTTAACATGTAGTAGTTCCTCATAAAAGTTTTTAACATGTTAATTATGTTTTAATAGTTCTTTATTTATTATTCAGTTATTGTTAAATTGCATTTTTTTTTAAATAAATATTTTATTAAATAAATTTTTAAAATTATCTTTAGAAATTTTCTCTACTTTTGTTTTTTAACTGATGTTAACGATGTTGTTGAATTACTTTTTGTGATAAATTTGTTAACCTCATTATTCAAATATATATAATTGATTCATTAAAGTTTATTGGGTTTAAACAAGTGCTATCTCAATTAGATTTATTTTGGCAAAAAGAAAATTGTTTTTTTTTTTTTTTCATTGTTCTTGTTTTTTTATTTCTTTATTTGGAAAACTGTCTAAATATCATTTTTTAATGTTTTTTTTTTTTCTTAAAACTGAAAAGTAAAAAACATTAATGACATTGTGATAACAAAAAAATTTTTTGCTTGAAACAAATCTTTTTATAATAGTATCCCCTAAAAACTGCTAAATGCATCACTGATAAATATATAAAAAATTTTATTTTTAATGGTTTTGTACTAGTGTGCTTTGGACTAGTTTCCATAACAATATATTTTATATATATAAAGGGGTTGAAGTAGAGGGAACGCAGGGGAACGCTGTTCTTCCTTAGCCATTAAATCAAGAAATCATTCCACTTCTCTCAATATTTCTTTGTAATCATTCCACTTCCCCTTTTTGAGTTTTTTTTTTTCTTTTTTACAATGGGATTGTTCATAATTTATGCAACGCATAACTTATCTCTTTAAAGTAGTAGATCATTTTCACTTAGGTTAGGTGCACGCTGATTTTATTGAAGTTAAAGAGCTATGTTAATTTTTTCTAAAATTTATGACTAATTAAGTAATACTAGTCATCACGGGAGATCTTGAAATGCAAAAGTGCACCTAACAAAAATATGCCTACACAAAAATTTACAGGAAAAATTTACATCAATTCAGCCCATTTGGGTGTGGAACCTGTAAATTTACAAAAATTTACAGGTTCCACACCCAAATGGGCTGAATTGATGACCCGAATTCCGCATCCTTTTAAACAAACAATTTGAACAAACTTTTTAACACCGTTCCACTTGATTTACTATTCTACTTTAACCCCTGTATATATATATATATATATATATATATATATATATATATATATATATATATATATATATATATATATATATATATATATATATATATATATATATATATACATATATATATATATATATATATATATATATATATATATATATATATATATATATATATATATATATATATATATATATATATATATATATATATATATATATATATAAAATATTAGTCAACAAAATAAACAATAAAATGAAATATTTTCTTTTAATTTTAAAAAAATTACAATAATTATAAATTTTAATATTTTAGCACTAGAGACCTTTCAAAAAAATCATCAGTATTGCTCTTTTCAAAAAATCATCAGAAGTGATTTTTTGAAAGACCTCTAGTGTTAAAATATTAAAATTTATAATTAGTGTAATTTTTGTAAAATTCAAAGAAGAAAATATTTAGTTTATTGTTTATTTTGTTGACTAACTTTTTTTACTTATTGGTTATAAATATATTTTAAGTTTTTAAAACAAATATATCATGTGAGTGTGTTTATGTATATGTATGTATGTATGTATGTATGTATGTATGTATGTATGTATGTATGTATGTATGTATGTATGTATGTATGTATGTATGGATATATATATATATATATATATATATATATATATATATATATATATATATATATATATATATATATATATGGATATATATATATATATCTATATATATATGTATACATACATTCATACATACATTCATACATACATACGTACATACATACATACATACATACATACATACATACATACATACATACATACATACATACATACATACATACATACATACATACATACATACATACATAAACACACACACACACACATATGATATATTTGTTTTAAAAAATATAGTAATTTTAAATAGGCATGATTGTAAAATATTTTCTAAAATGGCCAAAAGTGTTACATCTTCAAACAGTTCGTAAATTTTCAAAAATATTTCGAATATGTGTGGTTGGTAGTGGACCTGCTGGTTTCTATACTGCCCAACATGTTTTAAAGGTACTGAAAGCATATTTTAATTTTTTGCATGCATTACATCTTCAAATGTTTTATTTTTATTTTTATACATAAGTGATTAATGTATAATTATGATGTAATGTGAAAACAATATCAAATATCAATAACACATATTTAAAAAATAATAATAATAACATAGTTAAATTAAAAACAAAATGATTTTTTTAAAATTTTATCAAAAAAATGTAATAAAACATTATTTTAAATGATTTTTTTAAAACTCTTTCACCAAAACTTTTATAAAACATAATTTCTAATAATTTTTTTAAAACTGTTTACCAAAACTTTTATAAAACATTATTTCAAATGATTTTTTTTTTTAATTTTTCAACCAATCTGTTTTAAGATAAAGTTTTTAATAATTTATTAACCAATCTGTTTTAAGATAAAGTTTTTAATAATTTTTCAACCAATCTGTTTTAAGATAAAGTTTTTAATAATTTTTCAACCAATCTGTTTTAAGATAAAGTTTTTAATAATTTTTTAAAAGTTTTTTTAACAAAACTTTTTTAAGATATAATATCTAATGATTTTTTAAAACTTTTTTAACAAAACTGTTTTTAATACATAATTTCTAACAATTTTTTAAAATTTTTTTAACAAAACTAAAATTCATGAAATTAATATTTTATTAGCACTTATTTGTTAATTTTCATTTTTATCCTCTGCAAAGTTAGTTTTCTTTGTGGCTGGTGAGCCCCAACTTTTTCCAATGTACGCCACAACGACAAAACGGACATTAGGCTATCCCGCTGGATGTGGTTACGGCGATCAATAACCTAATGACTACGCTGACACTCATGCACACGCTGACACACATGCTCATGTTCAGTCGGAAGCTCCACATCGGATCAGCGCTCGTTGGCTATGTGCTCGGATCTAAAATCTCACTCCATTCCACACCAGCACGGGGCAGTAGCTCTTTTGGCTAAGAGTGATGGCTTGTGGCCTATGGTGACTAATGTGTGCATTCGATCAATTGAAATCCATTCTGTAGGTCTCACGTCTGGCTCTGATGTGCTAGCCCATAAGCGCAAGGAGTGAGTGTGTTTAGCTTTCTATTCACCCGATTTGAAAGTGAACGAAGACATAACGAGACCATACTAGACGACCAAACGGTACATACTAATGCACTACACCATCACACCTGTAGACATCAACGGCCTCTAAAACCAGTATATCAAATATTTGTTCTTTATTATATACTTTTGTTCATAATTTTTTTTTTTTTTTTTTTTTACCTTATCCTTGTATATTTATTCAGATTTGTGTTATGTGTGAATGAGGCCGTATATTTGTGAGAAGTATAACAGCGCGAAAATTTTACACAAAAGTACGTATTAGCGTATTTTTTATAACAAATGTATTCTTGGTTGGAATATACTGAACAATTTCATTAGATAAGTTTAGACTAATCACGATTTCGTTTTAGGTTTTTTTGTTTCTATCTAATTTTCTCGATTTGACGTCGCTAAGTTAGTTTGTTGTGGTTTGCACTATACAGTCTTCACTAACGTTCCTTTGGTCGTTTTGTCAACAATATTGTTTTTTAACGTTACATTTTTTAGTGGTTATAAGCTATTAGTTTAAAATCGCATATATTGTTTTAACTTTTTATTTCCTCATTATTTTCTGCCTACTGATTTGATGTTCGTATATTTTTTTTTTATCTCTGGCTAATCGTTATTTAATTACTCTGAGTCTGTTTTGTGTGATAGCTATTGTCTCTACTTACCAGGCAAGATTTATATGAGAACATACTATTTAGAGTTATATTTTTTTTATCATACTTTCGTTTAACTACTTTCGTACTAACCACAAAACATCTTAACTTAGTATCAATGCTTATGAGTGGTATTTACTTATTATATTTATAATACATATTTCAGCCATAAAAGAAACGGTAAGTTACTATTAATTATTAATTACTATTTTCTATTCGCCTTTTGTTATTTCTACACATTATAATTGTTTATTTACACACGCGCATACGTACATGTGTACAAGTTTATTTCTTCTAATGTAAGGGTACCTTTATATGTGTTTACATATCTGTTTATGGTCACACCACGCGCGTTCCTCACCACCCTCACGAGATCTCTAAGAATGTTGGAGCTGTTTTCAAAAACTGGGATAGGGATTGGGTTTTTTGGCTTTTGTAGTGTAGTCCTATTATATTGCAATATTGACTAGCATGACGTAGAGTGCAGGCGGTGAGATCTGTTGCAAGGACACGCCCCTGACGAGTGGCGTTGATGCAGGTCTCAGGCTCTCCGAAACGTCATTGGTGATCGCAGTGCATTCCTGAGGAGGGGGATCACCATTTATCCACTACTTAATTCTAATTGGTTATTATGGCACCAACATTTTTTTACCTCTTAAACCCATGTATTTTTGCGCTTTGTGAGCTTTTTATTATGAATTTGTTACATTAACGACATTTACATATTTTTATGTTACACAGGTGATTATCAGTTTTCAATTTTTTATCTAGAGTTTAGAACATATATAGTACCACATTTATTAGACACTTGTATGGTGCGATTATTTTAGTTATGAATACCATTATAAACCAGCGGATTTTTATTGACTTGTTTACTCATAGATCATTGTTTTATCATTTGCTAAAAGATGACTAGAGTGTGAGTTTTTATTCCTCTTTTCCTGAGTTGCTAACTTTTATTCCTCCTACTAAATAATCTTTACATTAATTTATGTTTTTTTACCTAAATGACATCATCTTCAATCTTTTTTTATTTTCACATCTCCCAGTTCTACATAACTGGACGGCTCCGTTGGTCACTTTTTGCGATCATTGTGTCGCATATGCAAAAAAAGTTTTTTTTCCCTGAAAATTTTATATTTTATTTACTAAAATTTTTTAAATTTTATCTTTTGCAAATTTAATATTTCAATGTATGGGAGAGTGTGTATGAAAGAGCCAGTTTTAAAAAGGTATAAAAAAAGCCAATTTTGATTAATTTAGAAAAAAAAAATTTCTTTAATTAAATAGTTACTTTGTTGGGTAATATTATAAAATTAAAATAAATTGGATAACAATGCTGATAATCTGTCATACACCTATTTTAAAAAAAGAGAGAAATCAGCTCTTTCATAACATCTTGTCAATGAAAGAGCCACTCTGTGCTATGAATGAGATGTAACATTTTTTTCTAAAATTAACAAGTCTTTTAAGATTAATAATCTGTTAATAATCTTTTAAGAGTAATTATCTGTTAAGCCGGATTTTTCATCGCATAAAAAAGTGGCTCTTTCAAAAATTGTATGGTAAAAAAAATAATCTGAAATTAAACATTTTTTACCGAAACTTTAATCTAATATTATTTGTGGAAAAGAAAGACACACATATATATAACAATGCAGCATATAAAAACTATTATTAAAGCTGTTTTATCATTTGTTTTATCATTGATTATCATAGAATTATATAACCTAAAGTAAAATCTGATTTTTAGAAGACTAGTTAATGTCTAGTTAATTAATCAATGGAATAAATGTAGTTTTTGGAAGAAAAACATCAATTATTTATTTAATCAATCAATCAGGGATTATCTTTTTCCGGATATTCCCAGAGTTCTGGATGTTTTTCAAGATTATTAGGTTTTCCGGATATCCAAAAGGTTTTCTTTACATACAAGTTTAAGTATATATTTGTGTAATATATTTGATTTTTAAGGTTTTTTAGTCATCACTCATACAAAAATTAAAGAAATTCTCAAAATAATTGAGATACAACTCAGCTAAAAGAAAATTAAGAGGAAAATAAGGGGAAAAAAATTCCGGATTTTTTCCAGATATTTTAAGCAAACAATTTTCCGTATTTTTTAAATATGACCTGGATCATCTATGATCAATTGATCAATGGAAAGGATAAATGTAGTTTTAGGAAAAAAACATCAATTAATATTTTAGTTGATCAATGGAGCGGATTAATGTAGTTTTAGGAAGAAAAACAGCAATTGTTATTGCTTAGCCTTTCAATGTGTAATTCAATTGGTAACCTTCTGCAAGTATTAATGTTTTTTTTTTTTAGTATGGAAGCTAATAAATCGTTCTAAACTCAGGGTTGCTATTATGTTTATTGTAACATTACACTTCTATACTTTTTGTTAGATATTATTTTTTAATGGTTTTCATTTTTTATTAGGAATTAGTAAATCTGTTTATTAAGTTTGTTTTTGTGCTTTTTAAAAACAATTATTTTTTTAGTCAATACTTTTTTGTAACTTTGAGTTTAAAATATTTAAAATGTGTAAATATCTAGAATATTTCTAAAAGAAAATTAAATAATATTAAAATTGTTTATGAGACCAAAATGTTTGAGATATTGAATTAAAAATAAAAATTTTTGTTCCAAATGAGATTTAAGATAAAATGTTTTTGATATGTTTAGAGTATAGTTGCAAATATTGTATTTTTATTGAGAGTATAGTTGCAAATAATGTATTTTTATTGAGAGTATAGTTGCAAATAATGTATTTTAATTGTTAAAAATGCTGTAGTGTTTATCAATAGTGAACAATATTTTTTATATTTTATAAAAAATTGCTAGATGTTCTGAAAAAAAATTGTATAAGTTGGGTAAGTTAAATATCCAATTAATTAAATCAAAACATAAGTTAGTTAAACATAATTAATTTCTTTGATTTACTTGTTCTTGTTGGAGAATGTTTTACATTTTTTAGTTAGTATTATCGGTACAAGTAAATTTAGTTTTGAAGTGACATTTTTGAAGTGACAACAAGTAACAAAGTCATGTTGATGTATTTGATAAGTTGTGTGCTTTTATATTATATTCAATGCAGGCCTTGTTTTAAATAAAAAAGTGCTTAATGCATTAGCTTAACGCGATTTTGACGTCATAAAATTATCTTTATTTTTTTTTATAGACATTAAGTGTTTTAACTACCGCAATAAATAAATAACCGCTAACTAGTTCAATTTAACAATTAACTCAAATAACTTTAAATGTTTTAAATGTAAATTTTTTATGAAAAGTTTGTAATGTTTTCAATTGTTATTTTATTATTAATTTTAGTTCAATATTATTTAGTAAAAAAAAATTTATATATATAATTTTAATTATTTCTGAAATTTGTTTTTTAATAATTATTGTTTATAAATCGTTATTGAATAAAAAATAATGATTTTTTTTATTTTTAAAAATTTCTGGAGTAAACAAAAAATATTAACATTGATAAACAAAAACCTATGTTAATTATTTAAACAGCGTATTTTGTTTTGACTAGCAAAGAATAATTTAGGTTTTTGAAAATTTTTAAATTTATCTTGCTTGGCGTTTCAACTTGCGTTATATAAAAATATACAAAAGTTTTGTCTGCTTTGAGCATATTTTTTATACATAGTTTAGAACGCGCTCGCCAGGAGTTTAATTCATAAATTTTTTGTTATTGTAAAAATGTTTTACATTTTAAAAAATCACAAAGAAACAGAGCTATAGAGAAAAATCGTTTTTAACAATTAAATCTTTTTTTTTTAAATTTTAGGAAATTAAAAAAAAAAATTAAATATAAAAGTCTTAATTATTCAAACTCTTTTGTTAATTATTCTTAAAACAAAAAACAAATACTTCTACGCAAAACTTTAATTGTGCAAACTTAAAAAAATAATATAAGTATATTTAATAATTTGAATCGTATCTGTTTATAATAAACGTTCGTAAAAATTTGTTTATTAAAAATTAAGCTCCTTAACTTATAAACAAACTCAAAAGTATTTTCATTCTACGTAAAATTACAAAACTCTTTTTTTTTTCGTTTGTAAGCAATTTAACTTAATAAAATAAAAAAAGAATAGATATGAGATAATCTTTGTTAAGAACAAATTTAATTTATTTATTGAACTATATTTTCATTTTTTTATATATCAACTTAATTAAAATATAGTAACATGTTAAAATATTTAAACATCAGCTGCAATTACGGCACCATTGTTTTTGGATAATATTTTATTTTGATGAAGATCACATAACTTACATTAGATTTTAATACCGTAAGTCTTCTCTTTTTCTGTGATCATCGCATCAGCAAAGTTCCAAGATTTGAAAGTTTTTAAAGTAAATCTTTTGTCCTTCAAAATACAATCCATATTGGAACTTTAAACAATTTAGAGAGAATAGAAATATACAAGGTATTTATATACTAGTTTGTCTTGTTTTATAAAGAAAAATACATATTCATGTCTTAATATTTTTGTTATCGTGATAACAAAAATATTAAGACATTTTTTGAGATATTAAAAAAAATGTCAATCCTTAATTACAAATTTTTTTGCAAATGTTTTTTATTATAAATTCAGTAAAAACTCTTTAAAATTCTATATTACAAAAAACATTTATATTCTGTATTAATAAATATGGAATATAGATTTTTTAAAAGTTTTTTACTGAAAACTTTAAAAAACTACTACTTTTTATTAAAAACATTAGAAAAAATTTGTAGTTAAGGATTGACGAACAATTTTTCATGTTGCTAAATATTTGGATAAAAAGTTTATCGTAAAATTAATTGCTATAAAAAGGTAAGATATATTGCGATGAAAAGTTACAACAATTATTTTTAACGTAAATCCTTTTTTGTAATAAATATCTTTACATGTCGTTTAAAAGTTAACGTGGTTTTTTTAAAAATTAATTACTTATTTTATGTTACCGCTAATTTAAAAGTTAAAAAATGATAAAAAGTAGCTTAACCAAAACAGCTCTAGCATGCGTAAAAATCGCTTAAGGCGTACGTAAATTGCTCTAGGCGTAATTTCACGTAAATTGCTCTAGGCGTAACGCTTTAAAACAAGGCTTGCAATATATTATTATGTACCCTATGATATTTTTGATAATGTACCTTTTAATTTAGAGTAACAAAGATATTTATGTTGATATATTTGATAAGTCTCCTGTACCTTTTGGTTTAGTTAGATATGGTGTTGCTCCTGATCATCCAGAAATTAAGGTATTCATATTTTTACAAACCTGAATGTTTGTTGTTGAATGATGATAACAATGCACAAGGACAAAATCCTTAACATTGCATTTTTTTAATTTAGTAAATTATTAATGCATATTTATTTCTAATACAAAATTTGTTAATATCTATTTATGATATGTTAATATAAATCTATTCAAACTTTCGATTTTATTTATTTTCTAATTTTTTATTCATTATGTTTATCATTCAGAATGTTTGTCAAACATTTGAGGAAATAGCTCGAAATCCTCGATGTACTTTTTATGGAAATGTCAACATTGGTCAAGATTTGAGAATTTCAAATCTTTCTGAAATATACTGTGCTGTTGTTTTAGTGAGTAGTTCGTATTTTTTTGTTTTATATCAAGAATGAATTAACTATTTTGCTTTAAAGAAATTTTTCAATGCGTTTATTATAGTTAAGTATAATATTTTTATACAGTTATTTTTTAATATGCTAATTTGTTGTATCACAGTGGATTGTGCATGCATAAATTGAGTTCATGATCATAATAAGACACAAATCAAGGAGTGAAGTTATGGTTGTCTAGAAAATGAGTCACAGAGTTAACTACCTGAGTAAGAGATTGAGAAATACATAAATTATGAGTTTTAGTACCAGCAGTGTCAGTGGTGTTGGAGCCATTCAGTGTGTTAAGCATTAACGTCACTAATAACAACAATATTGGCAGAGGGGTAAAAAGAAAGGGCATTGTTATTTTGATCAGAAATTACTTCTAAAAGAGTGCAGTCTTGAGAAGGAGAACGATAAAGAGAAAGTTGTGTGAAGAGGTGCTAAAAAGAAGCACATAAAAGAACGGACAGCACATCAAACCTGGTTTCTCGACAAACAGGTAATGCATAAGTATACCCCCAAGCCAAGAATGTGGCTATTGAAGTCTTTGCAAATCAAAGGATAGTACTCATTAATACTGAGGTCTGAAGAATGAACAGCCAAATTTAAATTAGTTTAACAAAAAGCAAGCAATTCTGGTTAATTTTGCAAAAGGTAAGCTTCAACTGATGGAAAGTTACTTTAAAGACCACAAATACTTGTGAAAGATATATTAAAACAGTTAGGTGGTAGTGATGATTTTTTAATTATTTTTGTTTCTTTAGGCATAATTTATGTTTAAGAGAACTTGACTCATTCCTAGATAGAGCACGGCATCCCAAGCAATGAGCTATGTAGTTGTCTCAGTCCTGCTAATTAACCCAAAGTTGTAATTTAGGGCTTCTTATGCAGTCTCTACAATTGAATACCAAAAGCATTAACAGAAATACTATCCATGCGCAACATGGCGCTATTAATACTGTGATATTTTACAGCTGTTGATGAAATCAGCCTCTCTGAGAAATACCAGAGAGTTCAGAAAACCTTACTACCAGCCACCCTAAAAACCATTAAACTAAGTTTTAGAGCTGTTCTCTCATTAGGAGATAACAGGAAGAGTTGCCTCATGGAGACATAAGCAAAAATTTATAAGTAGAATCAAGAAGATTCTGTATTCATTGTCCTAGGCAGGAAACAATGTAACACATCTACTTCAGTCTAATAGATAAAAGAGGAGTGTAAGGGGGGCTAGAATTATTCTGCTTACCCCTTAAGTCTTTTCCTAGGGGGCCTTCTACAAGACAGTAGCTGGATGCAGTTAATATCTGTCCAAGTTGAATATTTTTATCAAGATACCATCTCTACCTTTTTACCCCATAAGACAGGTAGTACTGGGTTGCATGAAACCAGTAGCAGTGTGATGATCCTGAACCTGACCTGGAGCAGTTAAAAGAAGTTACTCTTTGTACTTTAAAACAATGAATGGGATGTTTTGAAAATCCATTAGATAAAACATATCAAGTAAAATACTGGTTTAAGAAGAGCATAAGCTTCATAATTATATAGTTGTAGTCACTAGTTGTAGTCTTAAGTTTCATAATTTCATATTAGTTGGTAACTGAGCTAACACTTCACCATTCAAACAGAACACAAACATACATGCAGTAGCTTAGGGTTGAGGAAACACTGTGCCAGAGGTTTGAACACAAATATACATATAGTAACTTATGGGTGAAAGAACACCACGTCAGAGGTTCAGAGAGAACACAAACAGTAACTTACATGTGAATGAATATCATAGGAACATTACTATTGATGAACACCGTGCCAGAGGTTCATATAGAACACAAACATACCAACTTATGGGTGAGTGAACACAGTAACCAAGTTTTTTTTTGCTGTTTGAAAAAATTTCTTACAAGATGAAAAGGTCCTGTGATCTTTAAGTATACTGATTACAAAGTAACTTTAAGAATTAGAGGTGGATCATCAAATGGCTTCCATTTCACATCTCACTTTCTATACATAAAATTAACCTCACACTGATACTAATTCCTCAAACACACCAACATCAAAAAAACTCAAAACATTTATCTTTTCTGAAAACAGAGGAAAAAAACTACTTGTTATTATGCTTGCAGAACTTGATGATTTAAAATTAAATGCTAGTGATATACATGCAGGTCTTTCAGCTACAGGATTCAAAGGTTTACCAACAACAGTCAACATTTTTCTATCAATAAGATTAAACCTGCTATCATTAATTCCAGTAAAAATAACAATTCTATAAAAAAAAAAAAACAAAACAAATATGCATCCCAACAGAAATATATAATTTCTGTTGGGATGCGATTTTGTTCTCAAATATTGTATAATAAATTTTATGCCTGAAAAACTTAAAAATGCTAACAACATTAGAAGTAAAAAATTGCATTTTTCATTCATTGAATGTAACAGAGGTACTGATATAAGTGGGATTTTTCCGTATTAGAAGGTAGAACAGCTTACAACAGCTAATATCGAAATTTTAGTACTTTTTGTGAAAATGGATAGAAATATTGTATTTTGCCAAGTCAATATATGTCAGAACCAATTAGAACTAGGATCTATAGTGGGTTAAAGCACTTTTTCAAACAATTTAAACTAAGTTCATGTTAATGCTGATGAGCATTAACATGATTCCACTAAAGACTCCAAAATGGTGTTCTTTACATTTACCATTAGGGGTAGTAAAAAAGTTTTGAAAATTGTATATATATATAAAAAGTTTCTTCAAATATTTAAAAAACTAAAGCAAAAAGAATTTTAACACCTAAAGCTCTTGTTTGGACATAATACGCTGATCATGCAAATTTCAAATAAAACTAGTAACAGTTTCATCTAGAATAAAATGCCACAAATTAATAGTTGATTTACTTGAACCTTAAAGTATTTCAGAAAAATTAAATAAAGCTATAAAAAATATCATTTGCCTAGGATGCCAATTAAAAAAGACATTCAAAAAAGTTCATATAGAAATGTTGTTGTTTTTTTAAAATGGAAAAACATGTAAAAATATAGCGCATATAGTATAAAACATGCATTGACTTTTTGCATAAAGCAATTTATATTTATTATGTATAATGTTATAAAGTCAATGAATTTTATTTAATAGTTTTTTCAACACTTCTATAATATTTACTTTTAAAAAATATTTATTTAAAACTAACCTTAATGCATAAATCAAGCCATAAATGTTTTAATTTTTTCAAACTCTGATTCTATTTAAAATTGTTTATTTATATTTTTAATTAAGGCATTTGGCGCTGATGATGACAAAAAATTAAACATTACTGGAGAGGTGTGTCTTTTTGGTTGAAAGCTGCTTTTCAAGACCTCTTGTTCATAAAAATATTTTCAGTTTGTTGAAAAATATTTTGTTTATTATAAATATAAATATAAAAAATATTTTGCTTAAAATAAAATATATTAATTGTAGGATGCTGAAGGTGTTGTATCTGCACGTTCATTTGTAGGATGGTATAATGGTTTGTCTGCTCATGCAAACGTAATTTTAAATCATTTTTATATACTAAATTTAATATAAAAATCTTTCTTTATATTTTTTGTTGTGTACCTTTTTTCTGTTTGTTTATTTTTCCAAGCTTTCAGTGAATCTAGATTGTGAAACAGCAGTTATTGTTGGTCAAGGAAATGTTGCACTAGATGTTGCTAGGATACTTCTTGCCCCATTAAAGCACTTAGAGGTGGTTTTAAAAAAAAGTTTTGAACAATTAATATTTTTTTTGGAAATTTAATATTTTTGAAATTAATTTATATAAATCGCAAAAAAAGAGTTATTAAAAACAATTGATATCAAATAATATTTAAAGTAGTTTTAAAAAACTTGAAGTTTTCTTGTTTTGATTAGATATTTATAAAAACTTTGAATATTTATAAAACTATAAATATTTATAAAACTATAAATATTAATGAAACTATAGATATTTATAAAAACTTTAAATATTTATAAAACTATAGATATTTATAAAAACTATATATATATATATATTTTTTTTTTAAGAAAACTGATATTTGCAAACATGCATATGATGCGCTATCAAAAAGTAGAATACGACGTGTACACATTGTTGGGAGAAGAAGTCCTTTAGAGGTTTTTATATATAAAAGTTTTTTAAAATGTTTTAGAACATGTAGTTTTACATATATTTAAGTTTAATATCCATGGTATCACACTTGTATGGTTTCCATGAATTTTCCCATTCAAATATAACATATGAAAAAGTTAAAGCAGTTTTTTTACAAACCAATACCTAAGCATTAATTTGTTTTTACTATTCAAAGTTTACTTTCTACCTTAACTCACAATTTGTGGATATTTTTGTGTTTAAATTTGTTATGTTTATATTTATTCATAATTATATACTCATAGAATTTATTTTAAGGTATCATTTACGATTAAAGAACTCAGGGAAATGATTAATCTGGAAGACACAATAGCCTTATTTAATCCTGAAGACTTTAAAAACATTGAGATGATTGTGGAAGGTTTACATTTAACTAATATATAGATAGATATCTAATAATATATAAATACATTTGCTTATGTATTAGTTATATTTTTATAATTAAAGTTTTACAAATCAGAAAATTTGTATTTTTATTGTGACTTTAGAAAAAAATTTATCAATAGGAAAAAAGTAGCTTTTTTCTCTTTCTATTTCTATTTCACCTCTTTTTTTTCTTCTCTTTTAACTTTTCTTTTTATTTATGATTAAATATTTTTGTAATCGACTTAGTATTTATAAAAGTAAGGAGTTTCTGAGGATGTTGACAACTAGAGTTACTTAACAATAAAATAACTAATAATGAAATATTGTTTAATTAAGTCAAATATTGATATTATTGTATAATTTTATACTAATATTATAAATAAATAAAATAATGTTTACATTATTTTTTATAAATTGTACAAATAAAAATTATCTTTAGACTTACCACGACAGCGGAAAAGAATAATAGATCTTATGTGTAAAACAGCAACATTGTCACAGAAACTATTGTATGTATCAATCTCTTTCTGTCTCTCTCTCTCTCTCTCTCTCTCTCTCTATATATATATATATATATATATATATATATATATATATATATATATATATATATATATATATATATATATATATATATATATATATATATTAGGGTGCATCCAATGCCCCATACTTTCAAAATTTGATCTGTCCCTATTCTTAAAACTTTCTATTGGTACTCACTCTGTTAAATTTTTTCAAAATTGAATGAGATTTAGGGGGGCAACCTCAAATCTGAAACTTGCGACGAGACCCTAAACAGAAGAAAAAAAAGTTTTTCAAATGTATGTCATGTTGGGTCGCAAAAGAAGCGAAATTTTATAAGAAAATTTCAAAAACAATAAAAATTTTACATAATATTTATTATTATAAGTTTTATTGCATAAAAATTATTTTTTAGCAAAAAATTAAAAAAAGCCATTTTTTCATGATTTTTGGTCGAAATTTTTTTAACAAAAAATCATAACTATTTTTGAAATTTTTATAAAGTTTCGCTTCTTTTGAGACCTAACATGACATACATTTGAAAAACTTTTTTTCCTTCTGTTTAGGGTCTCGTCACAAGTTTCAGATTTAAGGTGGCCCCCCTAAATCTCATTCAATTTTGAAAAAATTTAACAGAGTTTCTTGTGAGTACCAATAGAAAGTTTTAAGAATAGGGACAGATCAATTTTCGAAAGTATGGGGCATTGGATGCACCCTAATATATATATATATATATATATATATATATATATATATATATATATATATATATATATATATATATATAATATAATATAATATAGTAATATAATATACTATATATATATATATATATATATATATATATATATATATATATATATATATATATATATATATATATATATATTTATATATGTATGTATGTATGTATATATGTATATATATATATATGTGTGTGTGTGTGTGTGTGTGTGTATATATATATTTTTTGCCGACCTCAAACACTTTCAGGTCGGCAGTTAGGTTGGCATTTCTGAATGCCGACCCTAATTCCAAGGGTTGATATATATTTATATATATATATATATATATATATATATATATATATATATATATATATATATATATATATATATATATATATATATATATATATATGTGTGTGTGTATATATATATATGTGTATATATATATATATTTATATATGTATATATATATACACACACACTTACTAAAGTGTATTTTTTATAAGCATTTGCTCATTTTTTTTGCTTACCTTAATCCATACAGCTTTTTTAGAAAAAGAAGAAAAAAAACGAAGAATGATGAATGAAACGATTGCTGCCCCATCCCAAACCCTCAGTCGATGTAGCAGCACTCCATTGCAGGTCAGGCTATTTGACCTGAAATAGCCTGCTGCTGGGGGCTTCAGTACATACATTGACTGTATATATATATATATATATATATATATATATATATATATATATATATATATATATATATATATATATATATATATATATATATATATATATATATATATATATATATATAGTACTGCCTCAAAGCACCTGAATTTATATATTGTATTTAAATATGTATATATATATATATATATATATATATATATATATATATATATATATATATATATATATATATATATATATAACTGCATCTAACACAGGTTATTTAAATGGATCTTATGTTTTACTGGAGAAGAAGTTACACAAAGATCTACTCTGGCTTGCTTGTAGACATCACATGCTTGAAGTGTTATGTGGAGACATGTTTAAGAAATTGTTTGGTCCAAAATCTGGTCCGAATGTAGCACTATTTTGTTGTTTTTAGGATTTCTGGCCTCAAGTAGACCAAGGTAATTACAAGTGTTGTATGGATTGTCGTTTAAATGCCAGTCTTGACAACCTCAAGCATGATGTGGTCATTTTTGCAAAGAATGCTCTAGTGGGACAAGAAGGATGTCTTCCGAGAGAAGATTACTGAGAACTTCTTGAACTCACATTGATTTTCCTGGAACACTGTCCTTCAATAGGTGTTAGTTTTAGAGTTCCTAGTGCATTCTATCATGCAAGATGGATGTCAAAGTTGAAATATACAATTTGAAAATCTTTCTTTTTCAACACCAATTCAAACTGACAAAGCATGAAAGCAGTATTTACCAAGAGTTTAGTTTGTTTGTCACACTGATTTATGTGAAGGCTTGGATCAAGCTTCAATTTCTTTGCTTGGATTTTCAAATTCATTGCTTGGATTCATGCAATGAATTTCCAATTCATTGCATGAATTTGGAAATTCATTGCATGAATTTGGAAATTCATTGCATGAATTTCCAAATTTATGCAATGCTCTGAACAACGATCTGAACTTCATTTGAGCCATTGCAGACTACCATTCAACTAATGATGTAGTAGTCAAGGCGGCTGACAGTGCAATTGGACGTCATTTATGGTACTTAAGCGAAGAAATGGTACCTCTTAGCCTTTTCTCAGACATGGTGACACTGAACACAAAGCAGAAAATGGTGAGTTGACTACGAGAGCTCCCAGCTGGAAAAAATGAAGATCGTTGAGTCAGATATACAGGAAAACTCTTGATTATTTCATTGGACCTGCATCCCACCTGTTCTTTGCAGCCCTTCAAATTGGCACCTTTCTATCAGAGGATGTAGATAAGTGCCAGAACTGCCATTGTTCATTATTGGAAAGAACACTGCTGAATCTTTAAAGGTAATTAATGACAGTGCTGAAAGGGCTATTGCTTTAGCCAATACGTTCAATTCCTAACTGACTAAAGAGAAAGACCAGAAACAATATCTGTTTCAAGTTGTTGAACAACATCTTTAATGCTTTC